CAGTGAATACTTTCAAGGAAAAGCTGGACCTTCACTGGAAAGCAATGTGTCAGGATTAACACAGGTTCATCAACTTACTATCCTTATTACTGAAGACTGATTAAGAGAACTCACCTGTGGTTATCTCAGCAGGAGCTTATAAATAACATTCAATTCATAACAATTGTTTTCATCTTGCCACTTGATACACCATTTTGTTCTGAATACTATTTGTTACCGTCTAAATCCACTCAAAAGCAGACACCAGTTTGTAGTATTGATTTTTCGGTACATCATTAGTAACTGTCCGTATAGTTATATCTTGAATAACCTTTTTACTGGGATTCACCACAAAGTCATTAAAGAGGTAACTCGATATTTACTTAAGAACTTAAAATATTATTTCACTCCAGTTACTAATATTTCTATTTTGCTCGTAATATATGCAAACTCTTCACGATTCTGTAGCTACTCACCTTCGCGTGTCTGATATGTATACAAATCCACAGGACCAAGGTGATAGACGTTAATCGCAAGTAAGGCCAAGTGATTAGAAAGTTTATGCCGACCTAAAGTGCACATTTATCGTAACCTCTCGTTGCTTTTCGCCAAAATATAACGTCACAAGGCTCTTCTTGCAGTTAATCCCAAGTGTTCTTCATAGTCTTTATGTCTACCTTCGATTTTTGGCTCTCTGTGTACTGTTAATCTGCCTACTTTCCTCTCTGCCTTGAGAATTTCACGCTGGGATTTGGCTTGTTATGTAGTTCGGGGGTTTCCATAAACTGTCTTCTATCAACAGCGCTTTTCCGCGACAGTAGAATATGGTTGATGTTCTTTAGTCAGTGGATCTGAAGTATCTAGTTTAATAAGGCTTTTGAATACCTATACTATCTGATAATGGTTTCAGTAGTTCTTAAAGTTTCAGGTCTGTGCAGTAGGACTGTTTTAACATGGGTATTTAAAGTTTCAAACCGTCTGAGTTATCCACTGTGCATCAGGTTTCTCTTTCCATGTGAAGATTATCATGGTCGGGCAGAAACCCGAGAGAAAAGGAAAAGATGAAAGTTGGCAGCCTTATCTTACACGACTATAGTTCAAAAGTTCAACGTCTCCAGAGTAAAGTAAGGTCCAGAAGTCAGTTATAAAAAGGAGAAACTGGAGGTGTCGAAATTGTCTAGTAAGCGAACATTCTTTTCGCGCTGATGTGGAGCACTTGCTTTTCCGGACAATTATGGAGTTAAAAAAGCAGTGGTTTGGCTAACTCACAAGCGTAACTTTCATTACGGAGAAAGAGCTAGAAGGCACTTGAGAAATCATGGAAGATACCTTATACCGGTACCATCTGTTCCGAGCATAATACTCAGTTGTCTAGTGAAAGAAGAAGTGTAGAAGCGAATAGCCTGCTTTTCCGAGAATTTGTCATTTGTTTTATCATACGTCTGAAGACACTAAATCTTATGAGAAATCAAGACGTTTTATGGTACGAATTTTATCACCCGATTTATAAAAGTCATCATTCTGTCTACCATAAAATATTTAATCGAGACATTTTTATAGACGTTTTGTCTACTGGATTTATAATCCTGTGATATGACTGCTTAACGTATGGAATTTCGGACTGAATACACGCAACTGTCTATTTGTCAAGTCTATCGAAGCGTCCAAATCATCCAATGGAGATCCTTGTAAAACCGAAATTCTTAAGACAACGGTTTATCTAAAGTAGCGGTACTTCATTGAATAGCATACAAAAATTAGTTACAAACCTCAACTTGTCAGGTGCTTTTGACATGTAAAAATTGAACTAAGAGCAAGCAACAAGAAAACTGTTGAGCTTAACCAAGGAGTAAACTACCGCACAAAACTAAGGATATCTGCTACATTGATCGAGATAAAGCAATTATAATGATAAATACAATAAATGTTATAAGTATATGTAAATATTTCAGAATATATCAAGCTTGCGTCACAACATAAGCGTAGAAATTGTTAGGAATACAACTGTTTACTGAATAATAATAAGTAGCATAAAACAATACACAAAAGAGTCGAAGGGTAGTGAATAAGGACGGGATCGTTAAACAGACTTAACACTACCCTGACTTTCCCTGATATGGTTATCCAGCCTCCACAGAACTATTCGAGAAAATGATTTAAGCTTTAAGCTTAAGCACATTATGTTAAACAGGTTGGAGATTTGTCTAAATGCATTGTTCGATCTCCAGCCTAAATGTGTTCTTTAGAAACGTTAAACATTATATTGACGATTGTTACGATACGGCAAGTCAGAATAGACAATGATGTGACTTCCATGTAATATCTTATTAATTAGGTTTTCACATGATGACACATCTACAATTTTAGGATTAGGTCTGTCACTATAGCATTACGAATAAAGAAGTATATGAATTATAGTATGAACTAGGAATCCCAGAAATAACGTAATCGGATCAAGAAGTACTAGATAAGCATGAGCGAATACACTGTATTTGGAATTCGAAATTAAGCATTCAACAAGTACAAAGGAACCATTAGTTCATTCAAACACCACAATATACCATAATTCAACACACTCAACTGTAACTTTAAAAGTCGTTCATTATGCAACTTAGTATTTTAGGCATGAACTGCAATATCATCCTGATACGATTGGAGACCGGTGATAATGTGATTTATAACCTTCTAGAATATCGCAGGGGAAATATTAAATATGAATTGTATGAATTTATACTTTAACATTTTGAATGATTTATGAATAGTTGATAGTAGAATTTATACTCATTTGTTTGTGTTACCAACTGTTAATATTCAGAACTGTGTTTATGCATGTTCATTTTCAGCTGATTCCCTTCATTCAGTCAATTTATTGAGGGTTTTTGTGTTTATAAATTATGATTAATAATGAAATCTAAGATACAAGTCTCTTTCTACTCAAAGTTCATCAAATGAAAGTATCAACATCTAATTGTTAATGTTTACAATTAAAACTGATGCAAAACACCCATCTCTTCAAATAATGAGTCCACATATTCACCTTGTATAACAGATGCAAAGTTTAATTGAAGGATGTTTGGATTATTCCATTGTTAAAACAAGACAATTGTCCTGGATTTCAATTCCAGTCTTTATCCCAATAAAGTAATTTCACAGACTAATAAAATATGAGAAAACTCTCTTTTGTATCCAATTACGAAACGACCCTCCAGTGCTTCCAGGTTTCCCGTGGTGGTCTAGCTTAAATCGACTCATGAATTCATACATTAAATTACTACAATTTCCACAAACCCTCATTCTGACAATAAATTTAATGATTGACTTACGTAGTAGTATCCTAAAACATAGAATATAAATTACTGACAACGGTAATACAAAAGTTAATTATATTATAAAGATTAATATTTCTTTAGTCATATGGCATATTTTCAAATCCTAAAAGACTGCCTATATACATAACAAAACGTGAAGGACATAACGATAAATGCATATCGTTGTACAGTTGAACTACTTGTAATTGACATTCAGGATGAGTAGAAAATTCCCTGAAACTTACTTGCACCTGTTATCCCTCATGGAGAAGCACAGACTGACCATTACCATTCTCCATCCAAATCTGTCCTGAATACCAGCTCAGTGGTCTGCAGATTAAGTGTTACTAATTGAGACTGAATATTCTGGGTTCGATTCCCTTTGATGATGGACCACAGATACTCACTGATGAGGAGTAACATATTGGGACGAAACAGGTCATCTAGTGCTTCCAGATTTCTCATGGTAGTCCAGTTTACATTGAATCACGAATTTTTCGTGTCATGTAGGTAACCCTCGTGCTAATGATAGAAGAAACCAGACTAGCAGTGAATAGGTTCTTATTTAGATCTTCGCGCAGTTATAGTGGAGCGTGGGATTATCTGTTCACACAAACAAAGCCTCTCAACATTCACTGTAAGATAGTAGGAAATGTAACGCCTATACAATATAAGCAAGTGAATGAATACTTGAAGTCTAGTGTCTTGACATATGTTTAGTTGTTTGAGGTCAACTATTAACCAATCAACCTAAGCTGTTACTTTAGCTTCCCCCCTAGAATCGATTTCCATAGGAACGTTGGTTCGATTAACCTATCTGTCAAAAACACGTTAGTTCTGTTTTCGCAGCCCAAAAGAAAATTATCAACCAACTCACAGTCTGACTTCCAGTCAATGACAACTAACTCCGTTAGCAATCAACGACAGTCCATGAATGTCTCTTCATTTGCTACCTTATCATCTTATTTTATAGCATTTAATTTCTTCTACAACGATCACTGACAGTTTGCTATGTGCTCTCAAGAGAAAAAAAGTGTGAAAAAATGAAACAAGAATATCTGAAGAAATGCCGTGAGCGGGCTACTATATTGATGAGGTACAACTTTTCCATACTCTATCCGGCTATCAGATATTTATTCATCTGCCTATTGAGTCACCATTCAATTGAATCATCACAATCTCTATTCTAATAATATCTCTGAATACACTCATGTTTATATGTTCTGTTTATACTGACCGCTAGTTAGATGTAAACAAGTTCAACTGAATAACATTTGACAATGAACATCATTTACAATAACATTAGATTAAACCATTATGACCAATAAATGTAACCAATTCAATGAGCTTTTGTATTTATTACAATACACATATACATATATACAAATTGGCCTACTATAGTAGTACATGATTCATTGTTTTAATAAATAGTCCTGATTACATGTATCATGTATTCATTGAATTCAGGTCAAAGTCCCTTAGTAACCATAATAATTCATTAATTAATGGTTTCCTATTCATATCAAATAAAAATGATTCGATACTCACCCCTATCCCCCCTCCCGCCGCCGCATATTCAATTGAATCTCTCTCTATATATAAAGTTCAAACAAACAATTAAATGATGTTCAATTAAACTTGGTAGATTATCATTATTATACAATGGCAATCATATACAAATCGTTTTTATTATCATTATTAATTCTATCATTAATGATTACCCAAGAAATTACATGTTTTCTAGGTATGTTATCAATTTGTTTAATATAGATAATATAAATGATAGAGATTTACTATGTTAGGATCTATGTATAGACTACTACTATACATCTAGTTTGTATTATATAATCATTAAGCAATTAAGCTATGCATATTCATATCCTTCCTATTATAAGCTTTATTATGATCTATAGACTAGTGTTATATGATTTACCGTTCTTGAGTTATGCGCAGTCTATTCATTACAGTCTCTTACAATCTCAGCCACATTTAGCTTGATCTTGTACAAGTGTTATTTCCTATTTTGTGGTACGATGTGGTCTGTTTGGTTAGTAATATAAACCCAATATGTTTGAAATAAATGATTCATATTGTAGAGGCTGAGATTGGTGTTCTGGATTGTAACAGATAGGGCTATGCAAGAAGAAGGAACGATACGGACTCTAGACTACTTATACAGGTTTTATGCATCATTGGTCTGGTTGATAAATCACTTGCGGTGGTCAGTATTCAGTATCATCCTTAAATTTCGTATACAATTCGACCGGATAACCGTTACTAGACAAAACGTCCCAATCGTGTATTAATCAGATGGTGAATACGAAGTTTATTATTGCACCACGCATAGATCATCAAAATTACAGATACCTTAAGTAAGTATGAAAGTGTAGTGCCGAAATGCAAACAAACAAGAGAGTGAGCATGTGAGTCGAATGAGCGAACGAACAGGATTAAAATGTACATATATGTAAACATAGGGAAATGAATGAATTATCGAATCAATGAAGCGGCTAATTGTAAGGCTATCAGAGTGAATATATGCATAGTCAGTAAGCAATACTCAAGCGTACACATTCGTACAAGTGAAACAATACTAAAGATACAATGATGTAAGGATAAGTTGTTATTGTACGGATGACGCTGTCTGTTAATAAGTAGGTTAACAAAAGGGCTTAACCAACTTAAATGTCAACAAACTCAGTTCGAAATGAGCTGTTATGCACTGTTCTCTAATTGGCGGTATCATTACGTTATATATATATTTACAGGGCATAAGAGCGAGACTATAATTTGTGAACGAATCAATCAGATTTACGATAACAGGTCTTGGATTTTGGCACGAGATCATTCATCCAATTGGCTAAATAGAGTTTTGGCATTATAGCTGATGTCAGTTCGTTATGAGAAACCCTAAAATCTAATTCCTAACCTATAACCATCAACTGTAAACCATAATCCTTATTCTCTAAACTGATTTATAACCCTCATTTAACCCTGGTAAGTAGGTAGACACTCTCAAGATCACTTTAGCGTCGCTCAAATGTCGTCCATAAATTATGGTCTCACCGCCACAAGTTATAACATTATCTACACTTAAGAACAGCATATTATAGATAGTTTTTTTAAATTTTTACAGTGATGTTAATAGGTCATTTCATATTTGTGATTACTTTGGTTAAGTAAAATCCAGGATGTACGTGAAATACGATCAAATCAATGACAATCTATATTCTATGCATCCAAATCTGTATAACAAATCGACCTTTCCGACTAATCATATTACAGTTTGGAAGACTCTCCCAGTCTCCCACATTGTACGAATATTCCATGTACCTAAATAAATGTTTGCTCTGGTTGTCAGAAAGGGCATCAGCCTCGTGACTTCCAAAGGAACTCGGCTTTCACCATGAGGCGTCATAAATCTTCTAAATAAAGACCTTCTGACTACCAGGACAGAGTTTAAATGGTCTGAGTAATTTTTGCTGGTAAGCATTCTTTTAGCGAGTTAGTTTTCTACGGGATGGGGTCGCTAACCCCATGTTCAACCCTCTTCCTTTATCTGGAGTTGGGACCGACAGTAGCCCCAGAGTTGCTCCAGGCGGAGTTATATTACAGTTCAGTAGTGTTAAAATGATTGACAAAAACCATCATTCATGATTTTTTCAGTTCTGTTATTATTACAATTCATCTCTGTTTAGATTTATAGTCTCTTCAATACAATTTTCTCAATCTTCTGCTACCATCCATCCATTGATGTTACACACTACTCATATCTGTTAACATAAGTAGTATACCTCATAAATTTATTATTCTTCTGTTATTCTTTATATTTTTAGGCTTAAAATGTGCAGAAAAAGGTGAAAAATGTACAAAAACGTTATTCAAACGCTGTTGTGAAAATCTTGTATGTCAACTTCAAGGACCATTTAATGGAATATGTGTAGATTGTTTAAGTTTGGAGTCAGCTTGTATTGCAGATCATGAATGTTGTAGTAAACGGTGTTATTTGTTTGCCTGTAAACCACCACTTTAATAAATTTATATTCATTACTTACGGTTTAATTTGTTTGAAATGATGAAATGTATCATGATTCTTTTGAAATAAAAGAAGTATTCATTGCTGTTCAGTTGTTATCCTAAGATAGATCCGTTGTAAACAACCTTTCTGAATAGTCAAATCATACTCTGATTCCAATAACATTTATTTATTAATTTTAATAGTTGAGATAATGAGTCAATTGAAGCTAGAACACCATGGAAAACCTGAAAGCAATAAATAGTCACTTCGTTCTAGTTTAGGACCCCTCAGTAGTGAGCATCCACGATGCCGCACCCCGCGAGATCCGAACCCATGACCTATCAGTTTTACCGTTGTACCAATCCATGAAGTTTTATTGAGAACAGGTGTTATGAAACGTCGTATTCCATAAAAAAGACTCGATTAGAATGCAAAATACTCCTATACCTAAAAGTTTTATTTACTCATCATTAACATACATTGATGATCACTGAAATCAGAAGACCCCATATTTTGTCAGCGTATATTGCATATCTTCCAGCAGTTCACTAAGAGATCAACAGTAATTCATTACTTTTAATGAATGTGAATTTTAAACAGTAAACATCGTTTAGATATCATATAAATATATGTGAATCCAAGGATTAAGAAAGTAAGGACATCATTCCTACAATTGAACAGCATATGGAACTCAGAACAACTGTAAACCAACATTAAAGTCACAATCTTCAATGCGTACATCAAGACAGTTCTACTATATGGAGCTGAAATTTGAAGAACTACCACAACCGTCATCAAAATGGTACAAGTATTTATAAACAGTTGTCCACGTAAGATACTCATTATCCGCTGACTGAATGCCATGAGCAACAGTCTACTGTAGGAGAGAACAAACTAACTTCCAGCTGAAGAGCAAATTAAGAAAAGACTTTGGAAGTGGATAAGAAATACCTTGTGGAAATCATCAAACTGCATTACGAGGTAGACCCTAACTCGGAATCATGAAGGGAAATGAAAAAAAGAACACAACACGTCAGGAATAGGAGGCAGACATGAAAAGGATAAAAATCAACTGTAAACAACTTGGTAGGATCGTTCAGGACAGAATTGGATAAAGAATACTGGTGGTTGGCCTATACTCCTCGCTGAAGAGTAACAGGCGTAAGTAAATATTATTTGATTACCTTGGAAAAATTGGAACAATTGGGCATCATATTTCAGATTATTTTTGTCTATAATCCTATTGTGTGTAATGAATTAGTAGATCACTGCAATTTTACATTTCTCCATTTCTCTTATTGTGAGCTTACATTGTTGTTCTATATATTACTATTCCGTGATTATTGCTAATTGATTATGTATTACTTGCCTTACACTTAACCACTTGTAATCTGATTGGGTTTAAAGTATAATTTCTTATTTAGTGTATGATATAGTCATCATTTATGTGAATCGTATTATTGTATGAGTTTTGAATGATGATTGAATTAAACAGAATAATAGATAACCAGTTGAATTAAATGAGATGGATTAACTCGTCTTGAAGGCACTCTGGGGCTACTGTCTGTCTCAAACCTCGATAAAGGACGAGGGTTGGGCATGAAGTTAGCGACACCATCCCGTAGAATATACATATATATATCCTGTGTTATGAATTGTGTATACCATATACATGCTAGAATTTACATGTATGTAGTGACCTGCTTTTACCAGTAGAACGAGAATGGTCTAATGGAAACAATCATTATTATAACCAATTGTACCAGTGATTGTTTTACTGTGCTCGTTTGTTTAAGTGTGCTGAATACAGCCATATTCCTATTCCATTACTCTCCATTACTTTTCCGTGGATTGTGACCTCGTACGTTCGTACTCTTGCCCGCTGATTTCACTTGTACTCTTTTGGCACGATCTCGGTATCCTTTCTATACCACGAGATCACCAACGGATAAATCTGGTTACATTCAATCTTCGCCTTCTGATTTATTTGGTACACGTTTCCTTGTAGTGGTGCTCATAATTAACCTCGACTCGACACCACGCTACATGTAATAGATTTTTAGATTACTCAATGAGTACTGTAATCTTTTGAAACTATATAGGATTATTTATCGCCGAAATGCTAAGAAATATCTAATGTTTTCATTAGAATTTGAAGTGATTTGAACTAGTCGAACGGAGATTAAACGTAACCGTCAGTCGATGAAAATTATATTTCACATTAATGAAAAGGGATTTTGTAGAGATTGTAGTAGTTTAATAGTTGAGTTCATGAGTTAATTGAAGCTAAACCAACAATGAAAAGCTTCAAGCACTGTAGGTCGTTTCATCCTAGTATGGAACTCATCAGCAATGCGCAACTACGATCCAGTGCTTCCAAGTTTTCTATGTTGAACTCAGCTATTAAATTACTACAATATCCACAAAATCTTCTTTCTGATAATAATCATCATATGCTCATTAGTGACTGCCTCCAACAGCTATTTCTTGAAGTTCTAGTGAGGAGGCGCGACCAATGAAGTTCAATCACCTCTGTTGTGAGACAGTTACTCACTGAAGACAAAGGTGGACAGTGCCGAAATTTCGTGAATTGGTTGAAATGAGACATTAACACCGTTGGATGCCAGCTAATTGGTCTAGAGGCGAAGTGTTATTAAGTGAGACCGAAGGTTCTGGGTCCGAATTCGGCGAGTGGAATCGTGGATGCGCACTGCTGAGAAGTCCTATACTAGGATTAAACGGCCATTCCGTGCTTCCGAGTTTTCAATGGTGGTCTGGCTTCAATTGACTCATGAAATCAACTATTAAGTATTTCATATTTCTGTCTAATTTCACTTCATAACAACAGATTGTGAAGTATTTTGTTTGCAATGAACTGTAAACTAATCACCTCATAATTGCAATTCATTTAGTTTAGTATAATGCAAAACGTACACAAACACATGCGAAATTCAATGATCGATAAGTCTTTTAATCATACTGATTATCTATCAATACACTGCATATCTATGAACATGAGCTTTCATCCAGTTAACTACCAGCCTATTAAGATTACTGATTCTTGAATATTTCAGTAGTGTTGCAATGATTTGAGTCAACTTTCATCACATAGATTGTCATTCATTAACTGTCAAATGACATATTCCAATATGATTGCTCTTATACATCATACTGTCAGGATTTTCAGCCATTAGCTATTCAGATTTAGGGTAAAACTGTGCTGCCAATACAGTTGAACGACGTCGTGATAACCTTACATTTGGGATTGATGAATTATTTGATGAAGAATGTGTATATTGTTTGTCAGTGAGATCATATGGTTATGCAGACTATAAATACGGTAATAGATGGTATCATTTGTCTAGCTGTAAATCGTCACAAGAGTAAACCTCGTAATTCCTGATGAATTAGGGTGTTTGGAATGTTGCAAACTAGTGAAATGTGTCACATTTCCTTTAAAATAAAGAAGTATTCGTTATTATTCAGTTGGTGTTATAATGAAATGCGTTTACTTAATGATCTTTCGACATATTCACAGTATACCCTAATTCACTAGATAATTTATTCAATGGGCTCTTGAATGATTTAAACATGAAATCAGAGCGTCGATTATGAAATCTGAAACTTTGATAATGGTTTCATCACTGTACAACTTCATATGGTATTATGAGAACATGTCTTACGAAATACCTTTTTCTACAGATTTGTCTTTTCAATGAATTCCCCTAAATGAATAGAACTATGACTACTGATTGAGATCATAAGTCGATTGATCTTAGACCACCACTTGAAACCTGGAAGCACTGGACGACCGTTTCACTCTAGTATGGGACTCCTCAGCAGTGCGCACCCACGATCCCGCACGCGGGATTCGAATCCAGGGTCTTCGGTTTCTCTTTGGAATGCTTAATTAGTAGACCACTGGGCTGAAATCTGACGGTGTTAATGTCTAACTTCAACCAATCTACGATGTCGAGGAACATCGTGGATTCATTGATGGTCTAACATTATTCGGTTCATGATGTCAATGAAATACATATATGAAGTGTTTGCAAACCTCAACTCGCTAGATATCTGTGGGGATTAACGCATCTGTATGTCTGGAAACAGCTACACTTTAGGTGAACAATATCATTCAAGCCATTTCCATTGTTTAATATAGTTATCTATTTATAAATGAATACTTGAGATGGTATTCATAGGTACGTTCCATATTTGGTTTTTAATACTACCGTCGGAAAAGATAAATGTGCAGAGTAAGAAAGATTTAAACACAAAAGAAATTGGGAGAGGCATAAGTGTTTTATAATATCCACTTTAGGTTTCAGGTGATCCAGTTGTCGGCCAAGTTAAACTTAGAGGCTGAATATACCTCTTCTAGTTACATAAGTTTGGTTTTCTGAAGTTGATCCAGATGGCTTCAGCTATGTAAAGTAGCCGTAATCTAGTTCATTAAGGTAGATTCTTTGGAACTTGAAATAAAACAGAGAAAGCCTCATCTATTTTGACATGATGTTCACAATCTACCAAGTGAGAAGAAATAGTACTGTTGATCAATTTGACAACCCTTCTTCCCAACCATGCTGGTACATGTTCATGAACACGCAAAGATAAAGCCCTCCGAGTACGGCCTATGTAATTAACTCCATAGGATCGGTTGAATTGGTATACACACATAGAGAGGTCCATAATCAGTAACCTATCCCTGATTTGTTGTGTAAGTACTGGGTTTTTTGAGAAAGTTATATGTACCTTGGCAGCGTTAAACATCCTTTCAACTGATATTTTGAGTCGACGTGGTAAAATGTCAACAGCTATATCCCCTTTAAAGTCCAGTCTAAGATGTAGGGTTCTTTGCTAATCGAGTCATAGTTCCTTCTTTTGTTTTAGTACCTTCTAATAGGAAATTTCCGAAGAAATTATCTGAATAGCCGTTATTTCGTAATGTTTTCTTCTGGGTATCTAGTTTGCTATCTACATTATCTTCAGAACATCATAGTTTGATTCTGTGGATG